CACGGTCCGGAGGCAGCCCAGGCCGTCTGAGGTGCCGGAGGGTTTCTGGTGGGGGCTCCTCCTCGCCAAGCTTCCCCCTCTTGTCCCGGAGCTGGGAGAACCAGCCCTGCACTCGGGATCCCTATGGCCTCTCCAGGGCCCCAGAGCGGGTTCTCTTGCACAAGGGACACGTGGACTCCTCCGAGGCCCCCCAGGACCTCTTGGGCCTGAGCCCCAAGCCCTCAGGGGGACCAGGCTGGGAGGGGACACCCTTGGCTGGGTCCATGCTGGAGCTGGAGGCTGAGGAAAGGAGAGAGAGGGAGGAGTCACTCGCAGGGACCTGAGGGGAGGCTGCCAGCCCACCCTGGACCCCCAGGACCAGAAGGAGAGGGAACTGGGCCCTCCTCCTTAAAGAGAATCCACTGGGATGGGGTGGGGGAGCGGGAAGAGGAGCAGGAAGCAGATGGTGCAAGCTGGAAGGGCCCTCATCTAACTGGAGTCCCTCATTTTACAAATGGGGAAACAGGCCCAGCCAGGGGAGAGAGTCCAAGGTCCCTCTGTGACTGCAGAGCTGGACAGAGCCCACGACACTGATCCCAGAGCATCCCCTTTGCCTCCACACCCTCGCCCCAGCCGATGCTCAAGCCCCTGCCCAGCCCTGGGTTTCCCCAGCTGAGACCCCCATTGGCCCTGGGCTTGGGGACATCCATGGTCTGAACCTGGGGTGGGGCACAGGGAGGGCGACAGATTCATGGGGCTCTGGCCCTCTGGGGCATGATGTCACTGTGGGGTGTCCGGGCCACTGTCCCTTCCTAGTCACCACCAGATGCCCAAGAGGCTTGGGGATGAGAAGGATTCATCCTGAGCCCCCACCTAACCCTCCCTCTCCTCTGACCTGCTCCTGTCCCAGCGCCATCCCTAGTTCCGCCTCCACACAGCTCACCTATATTTCCCAGGCTGTCCCTGGGCAGCTGGGCTTCCAGAAAGGCGGGGTGGTGGCTGTTACCTGGGCCCAGAGTCCCCTGTGGCCAGTACTGGGGCCAGGCCATGCCCTCGGGCCGTGGGAGGCAGCCCCCAGCGAGGAGCCGGCCCAGCCAGTGGCTCTCACACTGGCCGGCGGGCTGCATGTGGGCCGGCAGGTAGAGTGCCAGGCCCCGGAGGTGGCGCAGCCGGAAGTTCTTGGGCTTGCTCCCCTGGGCACCGGTGCACTGCTGCTGCTGGGCCCCCAGCCCTCCCTCGTAGATGTTGGGGGTTGTGTCGGGGTGGCTGGGACGTCCTCGGGCCCAACTCACTGCATCTGAGGAAGACGGAGCCGGAGGGTGGTGGCTGGCCAATCAGCAGCAGCCACAAGTGGGGGACACAGACACAGGCCTCTAAGGCCAGCTTATGTGATGGGTGCTATCCCCAGCCTGCCTGCTGAGCCTCAGCTTACCTGTCTGTCAAATGGGCTCCCCACATCCTCTCTCTCTCACACATACACACCCTTTCTCACACACACACACCCTCTCTCTCACACACACACACACACACACACACACCCTTTCTCTCCCCCCACACCCTCAGACACACCCTCAGACACACACACACCCTTTCTCTCCTCCCACACCCTCAGACACACCCTCACACTCACACACACCCTTTCTCTCTTCCCCCCACACACACCCTCACACACCCACACACACCCACACACCCCCTCTCTCCCGGCCATACCCTCACACACACACCTTCTCTCCCCCCACACCGTTTCTCACACACACACACACACACACACTCTCTCTCTCTCTCTCTCTCTCTCTCTCTCTCTCATTCTCATTCTCACACGTTGCTCCTCTTCCCTCTTCCAGGCCACAGTGAGGTCTAAGGTCTAAGAAAGTGAAGACCTTGGTCCCAAGACCCCTTTCATGACTCCAAGCTCTTTCTACCACCCGCCTTCTCCCCCTACCACAGAAAGAGCATTCTGGGTCCCAGTATAGAAATCACACAGTGGGTCCAGGAAGACGTGGCCATCCCAAAGTCACATCGCCTGGACCACGGCCATTTGTCTCTCCCAAGCATGCATGTCCCTCAGGCCAGCCCCGTGGCTTTGAGCCCAGGTAGGGACAGGAGAACATCTCTCCGCCTGCCTCTCCTCCCTGCAGCCCGGCACCTTCTCCTATGCGCAGCTCAGAGAACGCACAGACCAAGGCTTCCATGGAGGGCCAGCGTGGTGGGGGAGGAGCTGCCACCCTCCCGTGCAGCAGGACCCTGCTCTCCCTGCCTAGGGGGTGGGTCATCAGGTCTCCGTGGCACCACCCCTTGTGACATCACAGAGAAGACTCCCAGTCTTCCTGGACCCCTAGTTTGGAGGAGGATGATGCCCAGAGCAGGCAGGGTCAGGGTGGGAGAAGGGCAGTGGAAGAGGCTGGACCCCTCAAGGAAATTCCTGACCCCTCTGGCTGGGACAGGCCACACAAAACAGACTCAACTCCGGCAGGCTAGAGAGTCACTCACTGGGGTGACCACTGGAACCTCAGTTTCCTCATTCGTGGGCAGAAAATGGGGTTTAGGGGTGCAGAGCTGGTGAGATCTGGGTCAGTGCTTTCAGCATGCTTAGTAGGTGGTTCTGGGTGACTGGGCACCTCACGTACGTTTTCTAACTGGCCGTTACCCCGTAAGTAAAATACAGGGAGTCCCTGGGTAGAACAAACAGTTAAGCACTCAACCACTAGTTGAAAGGTTGGCGATCTGAACCCACCCAGAGGCGTCTCGAACACACGCCTGGTGATCTGCTTCAAAAGGTCACAGCCTAGAAAACCCGATGGAGCAGTTCTACTCTGCACACAGGGGCGCCAAGAGTTGGAGTCAGCTCGGCGGCAACTAACAATAACAAAATATGGGGTGCTGTGTGGATTGGGTGACACGATGCCCAGGAATTATCTAGCTGGGAGCCTGGCACATAGATTTACAATGATGAGGAGGATTCTGACTCACCTGTGGCGAAGTGGCAAAGCGGAGAGGGTGGGGGCCAGGCCTCGCCCCTCTCGCTGGGGTGACGAGAGCTCTGGCAGAGGGTGGGTAGCCTGGGGGCCACCAGATGTGCCCATATCTGGGCACAGTGGCTGAGTGCCCCACCGTAAGGGTGACAGCAGCACCTAGAGGCACTCCAGGAGTAAACACTCTAGGACAAGGAAGATGCTGAAAATGGGTCTCTCTTATGGCAAAACCCAAGGGCCAAATAATTCAGACGGACTAAAAACCAAAGGGAAAACTCACACGTTGCTGGTGGGAATATGAAATGGTGCCGCCAATGTGGAAAAGTCTGGCAGTTGCTCAAAAAGTTAAACATAGAGTTCCTGTAAAAATCAAAACCAAACCCATTGCCGTTCAGTGGATTCCAACTCAGAGCAACCCTACAGGACAGTATAACTGCTCCACAGGGTTTCCAAGAAGCAGTGGTGGATTCGAATTGCTGACCTTTTGGTCAGCCGCCAAAACTCTTAACCCCTGCGCCACCAGGTCCCCAGAGTTACTATATGACCCAGCAATTACTCTCCTAGGTATACACGCAAGAGAAAAGCATAAGTTTACACAAAAACTTGTACACAAATGCTCAGAGCAGCATTACTCACAACAGCCCCAAACTGGAAACCCAGATGTCCATCCGCTGATAAATGGTGACATAAACTGCGGTATATCCACACAATGGAATATTACTCGGCCATGAAAAGGAGTGAAGCACCGCTGTATAAATGCCGCAACATAGATAAGCCTTGAAACCGTTGCGCTAAGTGAAAGAAGCCAGACACAAAAACCCATGTATTGTATGATTCCATTTATATAAAATGTCCAGATTAGTCAAATCCGTACAGAGATAAAGCAGATTAGTAGTTCACAGGGGCTGGAGGGAGGGAGGAACAGGGAATGAGTCTCGAGCCCATTCTCTTTCTGGCTCAAACCCCTGCTGAGAATTTGCATTTACACCCCTGGTATACTGAATCAGAATCTACATTTTAACAAGATCCTCCAGGAAATTCTTACTTATAACTTCCCGGGAACTTCTTAGAAATGCAAATTCTCAGCAGGGGTTTGAACTGGAATGAACTGTTTTGAAGCCCTGAAGTGACCGTGAATGGGGACAAGATTTCTTTTCAGGGTGATGAAAGCGGTGGTTTCAGACTTTGTGAATATAAAGGGTGAATTTTATGCCATATGAATCATATCTCAATAAAAAAATAAAAAAACAAGTGGAGACTTATGGCTTAAGACCGTATGATTTCCCTCGAAGATCACGAACAAGACGATAATGTCCGCTCTCAGCATCTCTAGTCAACATTGTGCCGGAGTTCTAAGAGTTTGGACAAACGCCTACTGTCACGTATCCACCATCCCAGTCAAGATACAGAACAGTTTCGTCATCCCTCCCCCAAAACTCCTCCTGCAACCACTGTTTTCTGTCTCTATAGTTTTGTCTTATCCAGAATGTCATTTAAATGGAATCATACAGAACGCACCTTTTTGAGTCCGGCACCATACCTCAACCACGGCCAATAACGCGCCCCTCTAGGTGTCGCCTAGGAGGGAGGCCTGCGTTGCCACGACAACCGCCTTCCGCGGCTCGCGAGGGCCTGGAACGATTTCCAGCCTGTCGTGAGGTCGAGGCCGCTGCGTAGGTAAGGGACCCGGGCCGGCCAGTCGGCCAGTCTCTCGACGCTGTGCTGCTCCGCCTGGGTCGTGGCTCCGCGACTGGCAGCCTCGGCGGTCACGAACGAGGCGCCAGCCATTTTATTCAGCCTTCATGAGATTGTAGTACATTCTTTACAGTGTATAAGTCGCCTATCACAGTATCAGGCACAACGTCAGCTAGTACTAAATGAACGCGAATCTCCACGCCTGAGCCCTCAGCGTCCCCGAGCGCCCCCTGCCGGGCGTCCCTTCTGCGCGTGCGCGCGTTCCCCAGCCACTTCGCGTGCCGATTTAGTTTGGCCCCGGCCGCGCGCCGTTCGTTGGTTGCCATAGAGACCGGCGAGCGCTCGCTTGGCCTGTGAGTGCTGACTGACTGGCTGGCAGCTGTGACCTGGGGCTACTGGGGACCAGAGCGCCATGTCTTTCCGCGACCTCCGCAGTAAGGCCGCCCCCTGTGCCCTGCAGTCCTTGAGCGCCTCAGGGCTCCGGCCGGGCCCGCCGGGTCCCCTGTCTGAGTCCCGGCCCGGTCCCCGCGCTGCCGAGCATCCCTGGGGTCTGGGGCGCCGGGTAGTACCTTTGGTCTGGTCTCCGCGCTCCCGGGAGCCCCTCGGGCTAGAGCCGCCGGGTAGTATCTCCGGTCCACTCCCCGCTCAGCCAGCAGCCCCTTCTCGGCCTTCCGTGCCTCGGGGACTGTTCTGGCCCGCTGCCGCCACCCAGGCGGAGCGCACCGGCCCTGTCCAGTAGAACTTCCTGCGATGATAGAGAGCTCTGTATCTGCCAGGGACCACATGTGGCTTTTGAAGACTTGAAACGTGGCTAGTGCAGCCGAGAAACTGAATTTTTAACTTTATCTAATTTTAATTAATTTGTATTTGCATAGTCACGTGTAGGTAGTCTTGGAGTTAGGGCAGAAACTGTTTTTGAACTGGGTCAGCTTAGGGCTCAGACAAACGAACGACGTTAAAACCGAGGAGAAGAGAAGGCGGGATAATAATATTGCAGCTAACGTTTTTTGAGTTTTTAAGATCTGCCAGTACTGTTCTACATATGTGCATCATTTCATATCATCTCTTCAACGACTCTGTGTCCTGTATTTAGAGATGAGGCAACAGGAACAGAAAGGCCAGATAACTTGGTCTGGTGACACAGGTGGTAAGAGGTAGTGCTGGGATTTGAATTCAGTTAGTGTAACTCCACAGCCTGCAGCCTTTCTGAAACAGCTGCTGAGGAGAATGGAAAAGGCGTCCTGACCATGAGGGTAGGGGAAGAAGGGAACTTGAATACTTTGCTAGGGGGCAGGGAAATGGAGGAATGGGGATAAGAGTATTAGTGACTACTACTTTGAAGAATGGGGCCCTGGTGGTGCAGTGGTTAAGCGTTTGGCTGCTAACTAGAAGGTCAGCAATTTGAATCCACCTGTTGCTCCTTGGAAACCCTATAGGGCAGTTGCTATGAGTCAGAATCGACTTGAAGGCAACAGGTACTTTGAAGAATGGAGTCCCTGGGTGGCACAAATGGTTAAGTGCTCTCCTACTGGAAAGGTTAGTGGTTTGAACCCACCCAGTAGATGCCTAGAAATAAAGCTTGGCAGTTTACTTCCGAAAGATCACAGCTGTTGAAAACCCTACGGAGTTTGGTTCTACTCCGTAACACATGGGGTCACCATGAGTCGGAACCAACCCCACGGCAACTGCTTTTGTTTTGTTTGGTACTTCGGGGGACACCTGTTCTACGCCAGGTGTGTTACAGTCAATGTCTTATTTTAGTCCCCACTTTAAAGGGAAGGTGGTCGTGGTGGTAGTTGCCATCGAGTTGTATCCGACCTGTGGTGACCCCAAGTATGTCAGTAAAACTGTGCTCCGTAGGGTTTTCAAGGCTGTGAGCTTTCAGAAGCAGATTGCCAGGCTTGTCTTCTGAGGTGCCTCTGGGTAGATTCAAACTGCCAAACTTCAGGCTAGAACTCAAGTACTTAGCCGCTTGTGCCACTCAGTGACAGGTGGTATAATTCTTGGATGAAATACTTTGAAGCACAGAGAGGTGAAGTAAATTGCTTTAGGTCACCCGGCTAGAACTGGGTGGAACTAATGATGAAAACATCTGACTGTGACTCAGAATCTCTTGCCTTTTATGTGCTATTGTTTTCTGCATCTGAAGCAGTTTAGCCAATTGGCCCTACCTGCATAGGTGTAGCAGGTGATTATCAATGTGATGTGACCCGAGGGACCGCTTTAAGGCCAATTTTCTCACCTACTTGCTGGTGCCTGAAAATTCTCCATTAGACAGTATTCCTTTCAGTTTTGAATCTCTCTTTTTTCTACAAGGTAAACATCACATTTTATTGATGCAGCTACTGGCACCTTAGTGTGAATTACGTCCTGTGGGATTTGAGGGTACTTGGTGACTGTACATTGTACAAGACACGTGTACAAGACAGGTGTCTCCATTGAAGTCTAGGGAGGGCCAGTACTCTGCTAGGGAATGTAAAAGAGAAAAATGAGCTGTTAAGAGAGAAATTAAATTCATAGCCAATCCCTGAACCTCATTTTAACGTATGCCTTCCACCACTTCTCCCATTGAACGTAAATAAATGTTTTACAGGTAGCAGATTCCAAAACCAAACCAAGCCCTTTGCCATCAAGTTGACTCTAATTCATAATTCTGTTCAGACTAGAACTGCCCCACAGGGTTTCCGGAGAGCAGCTAGTGGATTTGAACTGCTGACATTTTGGTTAGCAGCCAAGCTCTTAACCACTCGGCCACCAGGGTTTCAGGTAGTAGGTTAAAAAAAAAAAAAAAAATCCAAACCTGTTGCCGTCAAGTTGATTCCAGCTTGTAGAGACCCTATAGGACAGAGTTGAACTGCCCCATAGAGTTTCCAAGGAGCGGCTGGTGGGTTCATACAGCCAACCTCTTGGTTAGCACTTAACCACTACACCACTAGGGTTTCTGATAGTAGGTTAGGTATTTTAAATCTTAACTTCCTTTTTCCTTTCTCTCCTAGAGAGTTGATAAATAGTCTCTAAAAATGCAGATAGGTGGAGATTAAGAGGAAAGTAAAGTAAATTTGTAAATGAATAAGAAGTTGCTGTTGGAGGAGGAGCTGACTGAATTGTCTCGCCTTGGACAGATTTCACAGAGATGATGAGAGCCTTAGGATACCCTCGGCATATTTCTATGGAGAACTTCCGCACGCCCAACTTTGGACTTGTATCTGAAGTGCTTCTCTGGCTTGTGAAAAGGTTAGAACTGCACTTAATTAAGGTCTGAGGATGAATACTAGACTTTATTCATTAGCTACCTAGAAAGGGTGTACTGTTGTGAAGCAAAGGGAAGTGTTCAATAAAATTTGGGTTTGACAGACTCTGGTAGCCTGTTAAAAATCAGCTGAGTTTAGAGAGCGCCAGATGGTGGTGAAAGGAGCTGATTTCTCAGCGGGAGCAGACAGCGGCGCGGGAGCAGACAGCGGCGCGCTGACCAGGCTCTTTCGTCCCCTTACAGAGTGGCAGGAACCCCTCCATACCCTCTAATGAGTACACTGGGTTAGGACTCTAGATTTTCCTTTGTGTGAAAAATCTAATATGATTGAGGGGTTGGCAAACTTTCTGTAACGTGGCAGGTAGCAAATATTTTATGCTTTGTAGCTACATAAGATCTCTCTTGCATATTTTTCTTTGGTTTTTGTTTTTGTTTTATACAGTTCTTTATAAATGTGTAAAACATCGTTAGCTCCCAGGCTGTCCAAAAAACAGGCTGTGGGCTGCAGTTTGCTGAGCCTAGGTGGATCATCGATAACTCAAGAAAGTGACTTCAGCAACTCAGTTGCTGCTGCTTTTTTTCTTTTCCACAATGTATTGGGAACTCTCCCGTCCTTGTAATGCAAAGTATACTTTGAAAATATGTAAAACTCTTTTGACTGCGTGTACTTGAATGGGAGAAAGTGTACATTGTTTTCTCATTCACAAAATATATTGGGAATATTCCCATGCTTGTAACACAAAGTGGTTTTTTTTTTTTCCTTTAAATTTTATTTATTTTGTTCTTGTTGATTGCTTCTTAAAGTTAACTGATTAGCCCTAGAGTCTTTCTCTGGGCCGAGGGTTGTTAGCCAAAGTTACAGTTCTGATTATTTGAATGGAACTGTGAGGTCTGAGATAGATTTAATTTTGTGAGCTGAGCCCCTGATTTGAACTTCGAAATCAGTTAAACCTGTTCATAAGCGGGGCTTTGCTCCCTTGTGTGTTTGGTAAGTGTTTTATGTTGCTGTTGAGGTGGTTCTTAGTCTACTGCCTTAGCTGGGGACTTGAGTGCCTCGTGTTATAAGCCCACTGTCCCCCACAGCGCCCACTTTCTCTTGTGGACTTGCCACTTGATTGACTTGTGTCCTCTCTCTGGTAGGTATGAACCGCAGACAGACATCCCTTCTGATGTTGAGACTGAACAAGACCGAGTTTTCTTCATTAAGGCGATTGCCCAGTTCCTGGTTAGTTCTTGATTATTTTGTGGAGTTGTCAAATTAAGGAAATTAGAGAGGGATGAGTCCTGATTAAGGCTACTTTCAAACTGAGCTTACTCTTTTATACTCCCGTTCCATTACCAGCTTTCTGTGGAGCCATTTTGCCAACATAGTTTTTTTTTTTCTCCCCGTCGTTTGTTAAGAATTTTATTTATTTATGTATTTATTTTTGAATAGGTAATATTTTCCATGGTCTATAAATAAAGATCATGAAACAAAGTAGAGTCAAATGTCTTTCTGCCATAAGCCCAGTCCCATTCCCAGTCACCACTGTTTTTAATTTCTTCCTTATGGGTGTTATTGTTGGTTTTATAGGTCTGTCATTTGGCTGAAAGGTGATCTCTGAGAGTGGCTTTAGATCCAAGTTAGAAGGGTGACTGAGGGCCATAGTCTTGGGGGTTCCTCCAGTTTCTATCAGACCAGTAAGGATGTACCATATCTTTATGTGTGGATGTCCCATAATCTATTTAACGGTATGTAGATAGGCAATTCGGTTTCCAGCCTTTGCGCTTTGAAGCAGTGCTGTAGTGGATAACCTATACACATTCTCCGGCTGGTGTATGTCGCGAGGATCGGAATTGCTGGGTCCGAGGGCATGTGCGTCTGTGATTTTGATGGTGGTCACTGGCTGCTCTCCGTCAAGGTTGTACCAGTTTACACCCCCACATGCAATGTGTGAATCTCTTGGAGTGTTTGACTCTTAATGCTCTCAGATTACATCCTGATGGTTGGCAGAGACATTTTCAGATTACCTACATGGGATCTGGTCTAGACATTATATGGAAATGGCCTTAACCTTTTCTTTTTTGTCTGAAAATAGGCCACCAAAGCACATATAAAACTCAATACTAAGAAGCTTTATCAAGCAGATGGGTACGCGGTTAAAGAACTCCTGAAGATCACATCTGTCCTTTATAACGCGATGAAAACCAAAGGGATGGAGAGCTCGGAAATAGGAGAGGAAGACATCGGCAAGTTCAAGTTTGATCTTGGCTCCAAGGTAAGGAAAAGGAAAGGCTTGCCTGCCGTGAGGGAACAGACGTTCTCAAACTCTGAAGTGTCTGTACTCACAGCACCGCTCCCCTCCCTGCTCCTGGACTCAGGGTAATTCGTCAGTTTCGTGCTCATCGGCGTGTGGATGAAAGCAGAAGTCACAGTACATGAAGGCAGCTATTTATGGAAAGCCTGCTATTTGCCAGACACTGTTCTGAGCGCTGGGAGGACAGACATGAGCAAAGAGGACAGAAATCCTGTGCTCGGGTTGCTTAGCTGGGGGGAGTCAGCTAATAAAGAAGTGAAAGGCATGGTAGGTCAGATGGAGTCGGTGCTGTGGAGATGGAGGGGACAGAGCATGCCGTGGCGGTGTCTTAACAAGAAGGCCTCATGGATAGGATGGCGTGTTCAGCAGAGATCCGAAGGAGGGAAGGGTGTGCCATGCAGGTGAAGGGGGAAGAATGTCCTGTGAAAAGAGGTCACTTTGTGTGACTGAGGAAAAGTGAGGCCACCTGAGGAGAACAGGAGGTGAGGTCGGGGAGGGGGCCGTGACAGGCCCTGTGGTGCCTGGTAAGCCACTGCAGAGACTTTGGCTTTACTCCGAGATGGGAAGCCACTGGGTTTTGAGCTAAGCTGTGACATGATTTGACTTTCATGTTAAAGGATCACTCCGGTTGCTGGGCTGAGATCAGACTCAAGGGAGGCAGGAGTGGAAGCGGGAGGCCAGTTAGAAAGCAAGAGGTGATGGTGACTTAGGCCAGAGTGGTTGCAGGAGAGGTGGGAGAAGCAGCTGGAGTTTGGAACATACAGTTGATCCTCATTCTTTGTGGATTCCGTATTTGCAGATTTGTCTACTTGCTAGAATTTGTAACCCACAGTCAACACTTGTGGCACTTTCACGGTCATTCGCAGACACGCTCAGAGCAGTGAGATATTTGAGTTGCCGGATGCGCGCACTCCCGGCTGAAGTCAAGCAAGGCTGCCTCCTCCTGTCAGCTCTCATAACGCAAACAAGTGTCCTTTCTGCAGTCTGTTTAGTGCCATGTTTTTCTCATGTTTGCGCTTTTTGTGGATGATTTTGCTGTTTAACATGTCCCCCAGCGTAGTGCTGTCTAGTGTTGCCAAGGGCGAAAGGCTCTGATGTGCCTTTCAGGGAAAATACGTGTGTTAGATAAGCTTCGTTCAGGCGTGAGCTACGGTGCTGTTGGCTGTGAGTTCAGTGTTCATGAGTCAACAGTGTATTAAATAAGGTGTCTGTAAACAGAAACACACGTAAAACAAGGTAACATACTGATCGGTGGACGAAAACATGAGCAGAGACTTGCAGGACCCCGGTCCTCTGCTTCCCCTAGGAGCAGGGGCTCAGTATTCACTCGTTCAGTGTCCACGGCGACTTCGTAGAGCAGAACTCCCACAAATAACAGGAATCAGCTGTATTTTAAAGGTAGCTCTTATGGGATTGGACGTGGGTTGTGGGAAAATGAGAAGACACAAGGGTGATTCTAAGGGAGCGCTGTCCAGTGAGACTTTCTGTGGTGATGGACGTGTTCTGTACGGGCACCATACACACGGTAGCCACTAGCCACATGTGGTTAGCATGACCAAGGACCTGAGTTTTCAATTTTATTTCATTTTAATTAAATTTTAAAATAGCCACGTGTGGTTAGTGGCTACTGCATTTGACACTGCATTTGACATCACAGCTCTGAAGTTTTTGGCCTGGGTGCCTGGAAGGATGATGTTGCCGTTTTCTGATAGGGAGGCGCGTATGGAAGGAGCACGTTTCGCGGGGAAGATTAGGAGTTTGGTTTGGGATGTGTTCAGTCTGCGGTGCCGGTTAGCCGTCCGAGCGGACGTGTGGAGCAGCTGTGCGAGTCTCAGAAGCGAGCTCCAGCTGGAAATGGATGTTCCAGAGTCATCAGCACGTGGATGGAGTTAAAGCCATGAGCTTAGGAGGGAGAGTGGACAGAAAAGAGATCCAGGGGCTGAACTCTGGTGAACTCCAGCATTGAGACTTGGGGAGGGTGAGCAGAGGTCTGCACAGAAAATTGGGAATTTGCTGCCAGTAAAGTAGGAGAAAGTTGCTCTGGTTGCGCAGTGGTTAAGCACTTGGCTGCTAACCGAAGGTCAGCGATTTGAACCCACCAGCTGCTCGACGGGAGAAAAGCCCTGGCGATCTGCTCCCATAGAGACACATACGTAGAAGACCTATGAGGTAGTTCTGCTCCGTCCCGTAGGGTCACTGTGAGTCAGAATTGACTCGTTGGCATCTAACAACAACAACAAGGTAAGAGAGAAGCTTGAGCTGGAGGGAGCGTTGTCCTGGAGGACTGAGGAGATGGGAGGAAAGTCATCAGGTAGGAGTGAGGAGGGGCATTGTTGCTGCTGCTGCTGCCGGGAGTTTGAGAAGAAAAGAAATCCAGTTGCCATCAAGTCACGTGTAACTCACAGCGACCCCAGGTAACAGAGTAGAGCTGCCCCATAGCGTTTCCTAGGCTGCAATCTTTCCAGGAGCCGCTCGCCAGGTCTTTCTCCCAAGCGGCTGGCGAGTGTGAACCGCTGGTCTTTAGGTTAGCAGCCAAGCACTTAACCGCTGCGCCACCAGGGCTCCGTGAAAAGGAAGAAGGTGGAAATTAGTTGTTTAGGAGAGAAGCCAATGAGCAGAGCAAGGAAATGTTTCTGTGTGCACCCTGTGGGAGAACTTCGCAGATTCAGGGAAAAGAGGGTGACATCTAAATCCTAAGGAAGAAGCCTGTGCAAAGGGCTGGATGCTGGGTCCTCCTCCTCCCCCTCGTCTCGTCCTTCTTATGCGCCTCTTCATCTCCATCCTCACCCTCATCGTCATCCTCACCCCCATCCTCATCCTCACCCTCACAGTAGCTCCCGCTGTGGTGGAGCCAGGTCCTGCTGTAAGTGCTTTACGTGTGCTTACTCACTGGAGCCTCACAGCGACCCTGCGAAGTGAAGTCTGAGGGCAGAGGACGTTAGGCAGTGGGCGCCAGGGTTCTGCAGTAGGAGATATGTCCTTCAGCTCAGCCCGCCCGCTGGTCACCCTGCTACGGTCGGGGTACCTTACCGTGACCTAGCCCACACCGGAAGCATGTCAGCTTTCAGCCTCCTCTGCCTCCTCTTCGCAGGTTGAATTTGAGTTGATTTTGTTTTTTCGGGGAGACCCAGGTGTCCTGGAAGGGGTCTCTCACTTGTGTGTAGAGAACTGTTTGTCACGCCGGTGTCCTGGGGACCACTCTTTGGCAGGGTGTACATACGTGTCTCATGAAAGAGTGTTCTGTAGCCAGGTGTTCCGAGGGAAGGTGGGAGTTGATACCGACAGACTGGTTCTTTTAGGATATTCTGCATTTCTGAATGCCTATTAACAAACCTGTCAGCGAGGTTTCTGGTTTTGATATTTGTCTTCCAGATTGCAGATTTGAAAGCAGCCAGGCAGCTTGCTTCCGAGATCACCTCCAAAGGAGCGTCTCTGTACGACTTGCTGGGCAAGGAGGTGGAGTTGAGGGTAGGCCGTCTTCAGATAACATAGTTCCTTCCTTTGCTCAGCCCGCTTTCTCTCCAAAATTTTTTTTTTCAATCTGTTGCTCTCTTTTTAGTTCTTTTGACTTTGTTGACTTGTCCCCATTAAATGAAATAACTTCTGGGAAATGTATGACTGCTTCTAGGGGCCCTAGTCTGCTTTTATACTTTTGCTTCTAGCTCAGGAACAGCAGGGATGTAGCATGTTGCTGAGACTTGGCAGACTGGATTGGTCGTGGTGCTTTTTCCTGGTGAGCTCCGCCTCAGCATTCCTCTCAGGAAAGTCTCTTCTAAGCCAAGGGTCCCCCAACTCTGCTGCACACTGCAGTCACCCGGGGGTCTTTAAAAACTGTTGATGCCTGCCTTCCTTTCTGACTTAATTGGTGGAGTGTGACCTAGGCAGTGGAAGTTTTAAAAGTTCCCCAGGTGATTCTAATGCGTAGCAGAGTCTGGAGACCACAGCTCTAGGCAGTCACTGTCAACCAACTGAAGTTGATGGTGTAGTTGAGATTTATTTTCCGTCATTGTTCTAACCGATGCCAACCAAGGAGTATGCTCTGTCTACTCCATGTAGGTAGCTGTTTAAGAGAGTAGCTCCCACACCCTGAGGACACTAGAATCACCTGGGGACATTTAAAAATCCTGCTGTCCGGCTCATACCCCGTACCAGCGAATCATAGTGTCTGGGAGTGAGAGCCAAGTGCCTGCTTTTAAAGGTCTCTGGGTGATTCCAGTGTGCAGTAGGGCTTGGGAACCACTGGTTCAAGGAGAAACGGAGCATCGTTTAAGTTCACGTGAGGACTTCAGCATTGGAAGCATCCATGCTCACATCCAGTGTTTTCCAGTTAAATGAAAAGACACGCACTGGGGCTTCAGGTATGCCGGTCCAGGTATGCCAGTCCATACCTGAAGCCCATGGCCTAGCTCCCACTGCCTTGCCTGCGTTCTGCCATTGCTGCTATGGTGCACTGGTATTTTTCCTCCTCCTTTTAATTTCTGTCCCAGGAACAAACTGGAAGAAGTGGGCGATATGGGGAAGAGGGAGTTGGGTGCCAGGTCACCCTCACTGCTCTTGATGTGTAGGCCTAGTGGCTGCCACCTGGTGAGGGTGGTTGGCAGAACAAAACTGCCACTAAGGTCTGATTTCGATAGCTAATGAGGCAGTGCCAGGTGTCTGTGGTTTCTGTGTTTATAGAGCAGTCATGCACGTGTGTCCCATTCTTAGTTGCTAACAGACCCAGAGAGAAGAGCTGCTCCCTTGGGGATTGCCAGTGGAGCTGAGGCATCATCGGGAGCTGTCACCAGGATTCCACTGGGGACGCTGTAGCACCATCCTGTGATGAAAGAATGCAGTAATCAGTGGCTGAGCCGTTTTCAAGGCAGCCAGAGGACCCTGAAGAGAGTACTTCTCAGATTCTGAGATAGTCAGGTCCGTAGGAAGAGTCCCCTGTCCAGTAGTCGTTTTTCATACGCTCAGCAAACATTTCTGGAAGACGGACACCAACCACAGGCAAGGCACTGAGCTGTACGTCCTCAAGGAAGTCATAATCCCTGCCCTCAAGGAATTTACCGCCAGTGGGAGAGATGAGACGCACCGTGGACTAAAAGAAGCTCAAGATGGAGTCTGATCCACTGCTCTAAGAACCTCGTAACGGCAGCCACGTTAAAACCACCTGTCTTAGAAGTTTCCAGTACTGATAGGATAGGCACAGAGGCCTCCCTTGATTGGGTAATGCTTCCTGGCAGGGGTGGGGCCGAGGTGACTTTGTCCTCACGTTTGCAGTTGTCAGGGACCCAACTTTAGAGGGACTTATTTTGGCAGGGGGCTCAGACAGCAAGTTGATCTGTGTTTAGTTTGGGGGTCACCTGAGTGGAATACAGGTAAGGAGGTAAATGTGGAACAAAGATAATGAATGAGAAGCTCAGTTTTGTCTATAATGTTAGGTGTGCGTGGGACCTCTGGCTGAGAAGGAGGGCCTTGAGCTCCGGAGAGAGGGCAGGTTGGTGATGTGGTTGCAGAAGCCATTCGCAGGAGGGGAGATGGCAAGTGCGTTTGCGTCAGAGATGCACATTGTGATGGAATGTTTGAGAGCCAGTCCGTAAACCGTGTCCAGGAAGTGTTGGTTCTGATCACTCTTCTGGAAATATCTATAAACGATTCTTGCTTCTTGTAGGAACTGAGAACAGCAGCAATTGCCAGACCTCTGGAAATAAATGAGACTGAAAAAGTGATGCGAATTGCAATCAAAGATATCTTGGTAAGATTGCTTTTATTAGATATTTTTATGCCTGAGGCTCAAACTATTTATTTCCATCTGCACAAGATAGAATAAGCTAGGCTTAGTGTCAGAGAAGGGGAGATGTTAATAGAGACATGAAAAATTTAGGAAAGTTGGATATTAGATTTCTGTTTCAAAATCTAAGTAGAAATTAGAAAAATTTTAGAATATCTAGATTACTTACTATTAATTTTCTCTGTCATTATTATTTTGAGGAATTTCTCATGCTATTAAAAATTCTTCAGTAATTTTAGTAATTCTTTATTTTATGGATTTGTTGTAACTAATTTAATCCATTCCTCACTGTCGGGCATTTAAATGGCTTCCAGTTTTTTGTAATGCTAAGCCTCACCATAAGCAGAAGGAACCTGTCCTTTTCTGCTCACCTGTGGTCAGTTATTGTTTGCTCGTCTCATCTAAAGTATTCAGTTGGAAGGCAAACAGTGAGGAGAACTCTAGACTCAGACAGCCTGGGTTTGAATCACACTGTGTGATCTTAGGCAAGTTACTTGACCCCTGTGCCTTGCTTTCCTCATCTGTAAAATGGGGAGAACAGCAGTGCTAACTGCAGAGGGTTCTTATCAGCATTGATTACAGCAGTGCATGTAAAGCCTCCTCTCTGGCACACAGTCACTTCTCAGTCATTTGTGATTTGGGGAGCCTTATGTAAGTCACCAAAACCCAAACCAAACCCCTTGCTGTTGAGTCGATTCTGACTCACAGCGACCATATAGGACAGAGTAGAACTGGCCTGTAGGGTTTCCAAGGAGCAGCTGGTGGATTCAAACTGCCAACCTTTTGGTTAGCAGCGAAATGCCTAACCACTGCGCCACCAGAGCTCCTTTTGTAAGTTAGGAGCAGGCATAGAGCAAGAATATTCTGTGACTTGTGCAAAATTCTCAGAATGATAGGTTGAAGCTTAATGATAGGTTGAATGAAGGTTATAATACACTTGTGATTGAACAGTAATATTCTGGGCAGCCCAGTATGGGGAGTCAGAGCCTAAGTAGGGTGGGAAAGACGTGGCAGCAGAGATGGGAGATGTCACATACAGGGAGATCAATCAAATAAGTAAATATGTAAGGATAACAGAAGCCAGTTTCTCACTGTAGGAGAAGGGAATTACAGATATGGAAAGGGAGAAGATTAGAATGAATCCTGCAGGTGGAGATGTTGATCAACACGTGTATAGATAGCACAGCAGTAACTGTTGCTATACGTGTGTGTATGTATAGAGAGTGTATGTATAAGTGTGTGTATGTGGGTGTGTATGTATAGAGAGTGTATGTGTAAGTGTGTGTATGTGGGTGTGTATGTATAGAGAGTGTATGTATAAGTGTGTGTATGTGGGTGTGTATG